AGCCTGACACACTGAACTCCATTTCTTTCTTTTAAGTTTATTTCTACTTCAGAGCCACTCACCCCCTCCCTTCCAGGGGAAAAAACAAACCTTTCTTACTCCCTAAAGTGAGAGCCCCCACCCCCACCCTTGAGCATCGCATAGTAATATCTCCACGTTGGGAACGCGTTGCATTTTCTTTTTTTAAAGGAATCCCAGCCAGGGACGTTTTTCTATTGGGCATTGACTTTCGATTGCTTTGCAAAAGTTTCGCATTAAAAAAGAAAAACAAAAAACAAAAAAAACAAACTTTACCTGACCCGCTTTGAGAATTACTGTTTTCTTTATATATATATTTTTTCTTACTTTAAACAACAACACCAGCGACGATTCCACCTTTTAGAAACATGCACTACTGTGTGCTGAGAACCTTTTTGCTCCTGCATCTGGTCCCGGTGGCGCTCAGCCTGTCTACCTGCAGCACCCTCGACATGGACCAGTTTATGCGCAAGAGGATCGAAGCCATCCGCGGGCAGATCCTGAGTAAGCTGAAGCTCACCAGCCCCCCGGAAGACTACCCTGAGCCGGACGAGGTCCCCCCGGAGGTGATTTCCATATACAACAGTACCAGGGACTTACTGCAGGAAAAGGCAAGCCGGAGGGCAGCTGCCTGCGAGCGAGAGCGGAGCGATGAAGAGTACTACGCTAAGGAGGTTTATAAAATCGACATGCCGTCTCACTTCCCCTCCGAAAGTAAGTACAGTTTCCGTGGTTTTCGCCTTTTCCATCCCCGAGTGTGAGGTTGGCCCGGAGCTCCCCAGAACCACAGCAGCCATAGGCGTCCGCCTTTTCTTCTCCAGGTCCCCAGGTCCCCATCGGCCCCTTTCCATTCTGTCCCTCGCTCCTTCCACGTCTTTTCCAGTCGCGGGATGGAGATCCGCAGTTTTACAAATCTTCACCTTCTGTTTTAATTTTTTTTCTCTATAATTCCCTTCCCCAAACGCCCCAGTCCTTTTTAAAGACCTTTGATTTTTCTCCCTCTTCCCTGGTCCACCAACTAGGGAGTCAGGTCCCTTCTGTCAAAAAGAAAGTGCTTCCCGGATGACTTTAGGCTAGGGGACAGTGGTAGACCTGTTTTCTTTGCTGGGTTGGCGTGGGGTGGGGGTAGGGGTGTCCTCCAACCGGTGCGCAAAGAGTTAAAAAAGAAGTGCCTCCGAACTAGCCTTCCCAAAGGCACCCCTTTCAGTGCTGACCTATTTGGGGGCTCCCCAAGCTTTCGCTATTGTTTCTCACTGCCCTAAGAATGTCAGCATCACCAGCACCAAGCGGGATTGCGGGCGCTCGTGCGGGGTGTTGGGGGGGGGGGGACGACGACTGAAAACCCCTTAAATCCTCGATCTACTATGGCTCTCTCTGGGTGTTTTCACACCCCCTCCCCTCGCAAAACCGAGTAGCCAAGTCCTTTTCTGACCTCACGTGGAGAGTAGAAAGGGTAAATACGGTTCTAACTGGGCTGAGTCGCTTTCACTTCCCGTTCCGTTTCTCTAGCTGGCCCTTACTAGGCTGAGAGCAGGACGTTTTTCTTGGGGGATTCTCCGATATCTTTTTCAACCTTGAACTCTGCTCCTGCACTTTCTTAAGCAGCGGAGACACTTGAGCATTCCGAGATCGAGTTTAGGAAAGACAGCTGATTTTTTTTTTTTTTTTAAATATCTTCACCCTGTTTCCCTGCGAGCATTGTCCTCAAAACAGCTGGCATACAGTAGCAGTGATTTATTGTGGTGCTCTTTGGGGGGAAGGGAAGCAGTGCTGTTGGGAGAAGAGAAGCGGGGAGAAAGAGAGATTGTGATTGCAGCAGCAAGAGCACTGAGTGATTACCTGAGAGGGTTAAACACCAGGAAGAAACACTAAAAGAAAAATAAAAACTTCAGCATCCCTGTGTTCCAAGTCCCCGTCGTAAACTTTTCATTGGCTGATCCTTTCTCTCCTCCCCTTTTCATGCCTATATCCTCGATGGCTGCCTTTGTGAGTGAAGTCGGTGTCTTGCCTAAATAGATAATGCAGCCATCTTGGTAATTTTATCCCAGAAGTTAGAATTGCAGGGTTGTGCTTTTCTCTTCTAATATTTATTTTTAGTTTGACGAGCCATCGCTATTCGACTTGCCTTGTCTTGTACTTGGTGTCCTCAGAGTGCCTACCCATGTGTCTACCCGCCCTCTTTCTGGTCACTTTTCTTACCCTGTAGATTTTCTTGCTGTTTCATAGAGTTACAGAGGCAGGGAACCCTGCCCAGCAGGGTAATTTTATTATTATAATTATGGCTCTTACCACCACAGTGGTGACACTTACACCACCCTGTTTTTCAGCCCCTGGGAAATAAGGCTTTCTATCTGGGGCGGAGCCACAGCATGGCTAGGGAAGAGAGTGCATTCTAATTAGTCCAGAACCATTGAGGCTGAGCAAAGGGTTGCGTCAGTTAGCTTTCTCCTGCATGTGTGTGTTGATTCCACTAATATTCGGGCTGACAGACAGGTATGTCATATGGGGTCAGTAACTCCTCCTTTGGTGTTTACATGCAAAGGCTCAAATTAGCTGCTAGGATGTTTGCAAAGAAAGAAGACACAGTCTCACATCGCCTGCGTGTGGAGAGAGGTAGCACTTCAGTCTGATGGATAAAGGTGAGCAGACAACCCAGGACCATGGTCATGAGCAAAGAAGAAACATTCCCAGGTTCTCAGGAGGATTTGACAGTGCCGTCTAAGATTAACGCGTGGATTCTCATCTCTAGTCCATCACTGAACCTCCAAATACATGAAAGCCTAAAAACCACACACATGTGCATGTGCACACACACACACACTATACACACAAATGCCATCGTATTTTCACATGAGAAACAGAGATTTGAGACACTGTGTGTCCAGTGTAGACTCTTAGGGGTAGAATGTCATATTAATAGTAGATTCAACACAACTGCACAGGGACTGTGGATAATTTTATAGAAAGTAGGTTAACTGATTTTCCAGGACTAGAAAGTCCTGGAATATAGTGAGAGCTTCCAAAAAAAAAAAAAAAAAAAGGAAGAAGAAAAGAAAGAAAATCATTCCATTGTATTTTTAAAGCAAAGAAAACTGGAAATGTAGCTATGGCTGCCTTATATGCCAGCTTTTCCCCTTTGGCGCCTTCGGCTGTCACTGTGGTGCCCCAAAGGAGGGTGTGTACCTGTTATGTCTTGCAGTGACTCTGAAGAGGGGCCATAAGTGCATGGAGGAAGGCATGGGAAAGATCACCGCTTCTTTTTTCTTTTCTTTTTTCCATCCACCAACTTATTAGTGTTCAGGGAGTGACTTCAACTCAAGTATTACAAATACGCCCTAATTAGACTTGGTGACTATATATCACTAGAGATGGTTGATAGCCCTTGGTGGGACATTTTATAAAGTTCAAACTCATTATTTTTAGCAATGTGGAGATTTAAAAGTGAAAATATAAGAGATATTGTATATGCCCTCAGGCATACTTTGTCTTAAATATTATCCTTGGCCAAGTGTGCTATATAAATAAAGTAGATATTAATAGAACTGGCCAGGTGCCAAGCTCCTAGAATGAATTTTAGCCAAGAATGTATTTATGGGGGTATAAATAATACTATGTCAACATTTAAAGAAGAGATCTGATTAGTTTTGAATTTCTTCATATTGATCTTTTCACATACTGTTAGTTTAAGACTCGAAGTGGATTTGGGCTGTAGTTTACTGATTGCTGGCCCAGCAGAAATTAGTGGATGGTGAGCACTTTGACCTTTGAAGTTCAAGGTGCAGCTACTCAAAAGGCGCTGTGCAAGGCTTTAGAAATTCTGGAAATTTGACTCTGTTGCATTTAAGAAGAATCTAAATTGATACTCAAATCTGTAGAGACATGGTGGGGACAAGGAAGTAGTTTTTCCTTTTGTTTATTTTTTGTTTGTTTTAAGTCTGAGGAATTTGTATTTCAAGGAAGCAGAACCCACCATTGGGCTGTATCCCAACCTCTGTTTGTTAAGGTAGGGCCTCATGATATAGCTCAAGCTGGCTTTAAAACTTGTCATATAGTCTAGGTCATCCTCCAACTCAAAACCCTCTGGCCTCGCCTTCCCTAGTGCTGGGACTTGAGAAATTCACCACATGCTTGGCTCTCCTCTGTGCTTTCTTCACAGCAAAGCAGGCACACGTTATGGGTCTAACTCTGGCAGGGTTGTATCCCGCCCTTTCCTCTCCTGCTTCTGTTGTGACAACTGACAATGTCTGAAAATAGTTTTCCTTGTCCTGGGGTGGGGTGTTGCTGCTTCTGGTCTTCATTAGATGGAATCCAGGGATATTTCTAGCCTATCACAATGAAGAAGGCAGTCTATCCAACTTCTCCATATACCGGAGAATTATCCAGACTCAAATTTCAATGGTGCCCATGGTGGGAAGCCACAGTTCCCTGGCGTTTAGCTTGGGCTGCTGAATTCTGCTCCTCATACTATTTTAAAAGTAATAGCAACAATAAAGTATCTTTATGATGAAAAGATAATAGAATGAAATCATAAGATAGAGAATAATTGGAATAGAATATGGATTAGGCTATTGTGTGTGGCATATACTTTATGACTGTGATATTGACGCTCCTATGTTAGAGACAGTCAAGTTTCCCATTCATTCACCTTCTGTGGCCGGGTTGGTCCCTCATTTGCTAGGAATACTTGTCAATATCAGTAAGATGCCAGTCAACAAATAGAAAAAATAATAGAGGAATCATATTGGATTTTCCATTTGTGTTAATGAAGAGCGGAATCTGTAGCCGGGGCAAGTGAAGGAAGTAGCGAGCCAACGGTGTCTTATTCTGTCTCCTAGAATTAGGTGGCCTGAAGTATGTATGGCCTGGAAAAAATCACAGCTAGGTTTCCTTTGTAATTCTTTCACATGAAGGCTAAACATTTAATGCTAAGCAGTTCTCCTTTTCTGGTACCCCTGTAATTTTCCAAGTGAAATTGTGGGCTGTAGAATGAATACCAATGACATGATGGTTTTGGGGAATGTGACTTAGTATTCAATTCATGAATCTGTCTTTCTATGTACAGATTGCTGGTCTATTGGGCCAGCTGCCCAATGGAGGAGAATATTAGCAGAACACAGAGGATTTATTTTTATATTCTCTCATGAAAGGTTGTCTGTGTATGTTTATATATGAATATGTGTCAGAGAGGGGAGGGGGGGTTGGAGAGAAAGACTGGCTTGGACCTCTTGACTTCCATAATGACTGTTATTAATGCACAACAGGCCAGACTTTAATTCCCTCTTTTTATTGCATTGTGGCCAGCACTACCTCTAATGCCTAACTGTGGTTACGCTTGAGTTCCTCTGCATGCCCCTCCTTCAAGATTTCCTGCATTTTTACTCTGCAGACTAGGTGAGAGGAACCTCAAATTAAAACATGGTTTATAGCTGAAACAGGAAGGTAGTTTTTGTTGCCAAGTGAGGCTGCCCCTCTCCTGAGTAGACCTCCATGTTTTAAAGGCTGGGGTTCCCCAAGATTAAAGAGCAGGTGTGGTCCACTTAACTGCACCTCTGGGTCTCCACAGCGCCTCCCGTGGTCAAGGCGAGGAGGCGCAGGTTTTGAAAGTTGTCTTCTTGGTGGAAAGATGCTGATGTAACGTCCTCAAGCACCTTCCGTGTAAAGATATGAAAGGATGACAAATCGTTTTTCCTAGAGGAAGTGGAGATGTGAAAAAA